TTTTTTTTTTTTTTAATATTGGGCATATCCTGTCAATTAAACTGTATATTTATTTTATTTTATATAAATTTATTTATAGATTTAACTGAGTCACATTTAAGTATAGATTACAGTTGAAAACTAAAAGAATTTATTTTGTAAAAATAAATACTAAAAGAATCTATTTTGTAAAAACAAATAATTTATTATTATGCAAATATTTTTGCAGTAATACCTCTGCGTAAAATTTACCAAAATCGAATTAAATAAATAAATAACTRAAGGCTGCAATTACTTGTTTGGGAAAGTCGCTCGACTTTACCTCAGTCCACTTTCTCCTTCGCTAAATATTTGCATATTTAATTAGGCGGACGATTTCAGATTACTTTAAGTCTGATTAATTATGTTTTTGTTATATTAATTATTCAGGCAAAGCTTTATAGCTTTGTAAGAAAACATATTTGTATAAAATATTTGATTGTTAAATGAGGTTTGTAAGTAAACAAATTTGTATAAAATGTTTGATCATTAAATGAGATTTTTACCTGTTTCATTCGCAGAGAAAACAAATGTGAACCAAATGCGTAGACATTTATTTTTTGGATAACAATACACGAACCCACACACACACACACATACACACACACACGTACATGCACAGACGGAACCTACTGTGATACCCTATACATGAACTGGGGCCATCCGGCATATAGGAAAAGAACGCAGCTACATACCCCTCAGAGTACAAAACATCAAATACATCCAAGAGGAGAGCAAATCAGCAAAACTCAGAATGGACTTCGATCAAATTCTTGCCAAATGCGGCGACTTCAATCGCTATCAGTTTATGATACTCGCACTCTTTGGCTTTATCAATATCATCGTATCGATGGTACGTACGATTTATTGCTTATAAATTGACGGATTGCTTACTGAAATGCGAAAATAAATCATTGCAGCATTATTTCACACAAACTGTGATTAGTTTCGTGCCGGATCATTGGTGCTATCACGAGAAGCTCGTTAACATGACATATAAGGAGATCGCCGACATCTATGCCAAATTCGAGAATCCCTCATGCACACGCCTCGCCGACATCAATGGCAGCGTGGTCACAGTCAGCACGGAGAAATGCGAAAAGTGGATATATAATTACGACTTTGGCTATAGAAGCATGAACACCGAGGTGAGTTGAACCTACAAGAATATTATATAT